TCACGTGTCTGACCATTCGACCAAGCTTCGATAATTACGTCAACCTCTTGGGAACGCGAATTTTTGCGTCACCTCAACAGCGAGAGCTTAAGACCAACAACTGTGGCCACTATATGCAGTCCGAACTCAGACATATGTATATACGAGAGGAGGCTGAAAAGTTTTGAGCCTAGGTACCTTTAAGTTTAATTGATGTGTTGTCCTGCGTGCCACTTATTGCTAATATCCTTACTAGTGTAAATACCGAATTCCATTTCATTAACATCATCCTTAATAGTGTAAATACCGAATTCCATTTCATTAACATCCTTACGCATTCAGTAATTGAGCCGTTGGAGTTCAGAGCTGTCATCAAATTCCTCATAAAGAAGAACAAACCAGCGACGGAAACATTTGAAGAGATGTCTACAGTGTATGGGGAGTCTGGACTTTCATTTGCCATCATTAAACGTTGGATTCGGGAATTCTAGTATGGCAGGGAGTCGTTGGAAGATAATCCCAGGCCAGCGCGTCCAAACACTTCCGTTACCGAAGAAAATATTGGAAAAGTCAAAAAACTTGTTATGAAAGATCGGCGAATCAAGTTGGAGCAGATAGCTGAAACCATAGGCATTAGCCAAAGACAAATCGGCGTCATTTTTTTGCATAATCATTTGCACATGAAAAGGGTGTGGAGCGATGGGTGCCGAAAATACACACTCTTTTGGACAAGAAGCGCCAAATCAACTTCGCAGGAGTTTTTAGACTTCTGTGGCGATAATCCAGACGACATTTTTCCGGCATTGTCACTGTGGACGAAACGTTTAAACGGCAGTATGATCCAGAGTTAAAACAGGAGCCTATGCAGTATATAGAAAATTGAGGCAATCCACCACGGCTCATGGCCACTGTCTTGGGATTGTGAAAGTATTCCGCACATCGAATATCTTCCTAAAAAAACTAGAATTAACGGAGACTATTATGCCACATTGTTAATAAAAGTGCGTCAAGTGGTTGTCGAGAAACGGAGAGGCAAACTGTCCAAAGGAGTCCAGACCTGGACCCTGCGATTACCTCCTGTTCTCCAATTTGTGAATGCGAGTGAAGTAGAAATGAAGGCGGCAGTAGACGAGCATTTCGAAGACACAAGGCGGAGAATATTTTTACTTGATAGATGAAAGAAGTGCATTGAAGTAGAGGGGGATAATATAGAAAAATAAAATGTTTATACAATTCTATCAGCTATTTTAATACCTTAGGCTCAAAACTTTTCAGCCTCCCCTTGTACATACACACACACATACATACATATTAGAGGTCTGCAAGAATTCATGCAAAACGGCTTGTGAATTATTCATATACAAAACGATTGAATGATTTTGGCTTAAAGTTTTTGTGAATTTGAGTGAATATCTGTTCCGATATATGTGTCGACATTACAATAATCAAAGTGAAAATGAATTGAATTGAAATAAATGAAAATTTTTTGCATGAATATCCAAAAATATTTTTTCTATGTACATATGGAAAAACACACATATGTATGTATGTAAGTATTGTTGCGCGCCTATTACAATACGAACAAATTTGTTTAAAAAAAAAAAAACTTTAACCAAAATGAGTTTGAATGATTTGAATGTTTTTTATTAATTCATTCACATTCTTCAATTTGAAGGTAGAAAATTTAAAACAAAATGTATATTCATAACTTACAAAATTCCAAACGCTGAGTGCTTTATATGTGAAGTTAAATATTCAAATCTACTGTACTCTGTTTGGCTAGAAGTTTGAATGAATTCATGCAGCCGTCTAATACATATGAACATACGAGTGTACAATACAATCAAGTAATGAAGACAATCGCAACAACCTGTGCCATTGAAAACCCATTTGGATCTCCGAGTACATATTTGGCCGAAGTTGATGTTGTCGTCGACGTGGTTTTTTTGACTGGCTGCTTACAGCTGAACAAACTAATGGCTTGCGGTCAGCTATGCCTAACTCAGACCTACCATCAGCTTCCCAGCTGCACTGTACTCTAATGGCAGCTCATTTTTTTTTTGTGGTTTGCCTCTTTCCACGCCACAACTATGTATATGGAATTCAGGTTCGGCGCACATTTCAAATTTGATTGCTGCTGAGTAGGTTGGGCGAGCCGCCACCGCACCAATGATGATTATCATAATTTTCGCCATAGGTTGATTACCACGTAAGGAATATGTCCGAACCAATACCTTCCCCACCTGTGCTCATTTCGTTATTCTCCCTATAAATGTTACACGTTTAAGCACATATGTATGCATGTCTTTAAATAAAAATTATTACAAATTTTTGGTTTTATACATCTAGAATTTTGAAATAGTTTCCTATCCAATCAAGCGGGTCGAAAATATTTGCAGTTGCTTACAATTTGTTTACATGCCAAAGTTTGTTTGTGGCAAATGCTCTTAACACCAGTCATGGGGAATTAATCAACGCGATATTAATAACAAGCTATTTGTATCAAAGTGATCAAAAGCCTTTCAACTCAAATTAGGTGCATAAAACGCTGTGCCTATATTTGTTAACTCTTTGTACGTATGTATGTGCACTACGTTTATAGCAACACCTGTCTCTTTTTATATCTTATGTCCATTTCGAATGACAGGTTCTTTACCTATTTGTACTAATAATGAATTTTAAGTTTGAGATTATTAACTACAAAAATAATCCATGCAAATCTAAATAGAGAAGATGTGGCGAGCCTTAAATATCAGCTATAAAGGATTACTTTGTGCACATGTAATTATGTAAATAAATTTTAAAGAAAGTACGAGTTTTTTGATATATTTTTGGAATTTTTGAAAATTTACTGACTCGGACACGTTGTTCCAACGTTCTTCTTCGTATTATTGGGCGCTATAACCGCCTAAGCGATTTTGGACGAGTTCAACAAAGCACACCAGACATTTCTCTTCTGTGCCAACCGAGGCCAATTGGAAATGCCAAGTGAAGCCAAGCCCTTCTCCACCTGGTCTTTCCATCTCAGTGGGGGCTTCCCTCTTCCTCTGCTTCCACCAGCAGATTCCGAGTTGCATACTTTCAGAGCTGTAGCGTTTCTGTCCATTCGAACGACATGGCCGAGCCAGTGCAGGTGCTATTCTTTAATTCGCTGCACTATGTTCATGTCGTTGTAAAGCTTATACAGCTCGTCGTTCTATTGTCTGTAAAAAAATTTTCCCTCGAACACTCCAAGAGAAATCATCCATTTGCCCACTATGTATTAACAAATTCATTATTGGTATAGCCAATAGTCAAGATTTTATAATTGATGTCTCTTACCATCATTTTTGTAGATCGTGTACTTATATTCCTAGTCGGAATAATATAACAAACCAGAAATTTTCATTGGGTTTTCCTATTTGTGAAAATTCTTATTGAGCTTATTATTAAAACTTCTTGCTAAATGGTTTTACTGGAAAACATCAATTTTCACAGAGAATAATTAACTTATTGGCTTCAAAAGAATTTTTTTTTTTTTTTTTTTACTTTTCAGGAACTCTAGAACTATTGAAAAGCTACTCAGAACAGTTTTGATTTTTTAACCGACTTCATAAAAAGGAGAAAGGTTATCAGTTCGTCGGAATATTTTTTGTTTGCTTGTTTATGTATGTTACCGCACAACTTTGGTCCACGTTAACCGATTTCTATAATTCTTTTTTGAAAGGAAAGGTGTTACCTCACATAATAATTTGGTTTAAATCCGAACATCGGATCATGAAGAAATCAACGATAATCTAAAATTTGTATATGAGAATTGAAGTCGGTTTTGTGTTTTGCTTAAAAATTACTTGTTTTTCAAACATTCAACATTTTCGACAGAATATTTTTTTCCGCGTAATTTTGCAGAACTTTTTTCCTTTTTCAGGACCTTTAGAACTATTGAAAAGCTACTCAGAGCAGTTTTCATCTTTATTTTTCTTCAAAAATTGCACTTTCTACTTTTTTTTAAAGGTTTTTGCGGCGTAATTTTGCAGAACTTTTTCCTTTTTAGGGACTCTAGAACTATTGAAAAGCTACTTAGAACAGTTTTAATTTTTAGTTTGAACTGTAGAACTATTCAAAAGCCAGTTTTAATTTTTATTTTTATTTTCAAACATTCAACTTTTTCGACTTTTTTGAAACCTTTTTCTTTTTTTGTTTTTTTTTTTGTGTAATTTTGCAGAACTTTTCCCTATTCAGAATTTTCCCCTTTCAGGAACTTTAGAACTATTGAAAAGCTACTCAAAGCAGTGTTTTATTTGCGTTTTTGCCACATATCGTATGTTGCGTAAATCTTCCAGCGTTTTTTATATGGGGGTTTTGCTTTTTTTAGAGCTGGTTACTAAGCTATAGCCAGAAATACATATATATGTATACCCAAAACTAGGAGATTTAGAAGACGAGGTGAGCATCGTAATGCCTCAGAGCCTAAAGATGTGTCCATGTAAAATAACGGTTAAAGTGGTTTTATGGCATTTGTAACTACACCGAAATGTTTTTAAACTGATAAAAAATATATAAAGCCTGTTCCAGGTACTTCAGGATTCGCAGGATTTTACCGGAAGCTGTTCCCGGATTACATCTAACACAAGGTTTTTCGCCATCAATAAACTTTCCTCAAATCCTGAAGTATTCGAACGGGTTTATATTTAGATCTTATCATACACGGCGAATCCCCTAAAACCATTTTAACCGTAATTTTACATGGACACATTTTTAGGTGCTGAGGCATTACGATGCTTTCATTGAAAGTTTTACGACTTTAAGACATTAAAACGCTTAAAAAACAATAAATAAATAAATTTTAAGTACCTACATGAATATTTATTTTTTAGTAAAACATTAGAAAAAACAACATTAATTGGTCTCTATGACTAAGCTTATTTTTGGGCTTCATCAAGGGGTAGGAATTCAATGTAAGAGTATTTTAGGTTCATAAGTGTATCTGGTAATGTTTTAATCGCATATGTAATTAATATTTTTTTATTGTGTACTTTCAGATAACACATGATTTTTCAGGAAAACGGCTGATCAATGTAAGTATCAAATAAACTTAATAAAATTCACTGATTTTATTATTAAATGCCTATAAAAATAGCTACAAAATAAGCCACTTAGCAATAAACTGGCATAGTTCATAATTTAGAAAATGTGTATGCATTATGTACTACAATTGTATGTACTTATGTACATACATGCATGTGTATGTAGTTATGTGCATGTAAATACGCTTGTACCTCGAATTTAAAAAATATGTTTTACAAAACTCGTGCATATGTATGCGCTTGCCATATCATGTCTGACACAATTCTTTTCAACTCTACTGGCACTGCGCCTTTTTCGTTCGATTATGTTACACTCTATGCACACGAGCACCAGAGATGGGCGAAATTGTATTTACTAAATATTAGGTACTAAATACGAAAGTATTTGCCGAGTATGACAGTACTTACATTTATAATTATGCTAAATACTTTAAGGTTATGTATTTACTTATTTTCCCAGAACTAAATACTGCCGCTCTGGCTGAGTGGTTAGAAGTGGATGCTACCAAATTAGGAAAAGTTTTTTCTAACAGCGGTCGTCCCTCGGCAGGCAATGGCGAACCTCGAGGGCACTTCTGCCTTGAAAGAGTTTCTCATAGAATCCTTTTTCCATTTGCGTAAAAACATAAAGACGCACACCACAAAAGGGAGGAGAAGCTCAGCCAAACACTTAGGCGTCGCTATTTCTCTCAAAGTACAAAGGTACCTAGAGATTTTGGCTTTATTAAATACTGGGCCCGAATCGCGGCATTCCATATCGAACGCAACTCGAATCAAAATTTGATTTTGAGGTCAAAGGCGATTCGTCAATTTAAATTATATTTTGGAAAAAGAGTTGCTATTTTAGCTGATTCCATTCGAATCGAGTAATCACTCGATCACGAATGCGCGATTCGGGCCCTGCTAGAAACAAAATTTATGGCTTCACTTAATACTGAATATAAAAGCACTTAAGTAGTATTTATGACTTGACTAAATACTAAATACTTGCTTGGTATCAAAAATTAAGGATATCGGGAGTTTCGGATGTTTCTAGTCATTAGGAACTATTTCCGATCTCTGGCTTTTCAGAGCTTGAGGGGAATTGAGGTGAGGTGAGGAGAATAATTCAATAAATTCTCTGTTATCACGACGTGCGTACGAGCTCGTTCCGAGGCCACCACCAGTGATCGGACTCAAAAAAAATGTGGTAGATCTCAGGTTTTGGATCAAATTTGGTACAAAAATTTAAAAAATTCTGCAAGGTGTCACCAAAATTGTAAACATTTTAAATATAATATAAAAAGTGCAAGATTGAAGTTGCTAAAAATTGCGTTTAGTTTTGGCAATTGTTTTCCTTGAGTTCCTTCCATATCAAGATATTTTTCGAACATATTTTGAGAGATTTCTGCAACCTTTCGGAGTGCTGCCAGCGTTTCTTTTTATCACATCAGGATGAAGCGAACAAATGTGGCACGTTCCAGAAACCGCTACTTGGGATTTGCCGATTTTACAAATCCACAGGAAAATGTAAAAAACTTTAGATGCACTGATATTATACTTTCACAAGAATCGCTATTAATTATTTTTATAAATCATATATTTTGCAATTTAACACAATAAAACCACGTTTCCTGTCGAAAATTTATTATTGAGAAAATTTACTATTTTATAGTTTATTTCATCCTCCCATTCGGCTTTGTTGTTAGTGTTTAAAATTAAGAAAATTATATCGAGAAAAAATAAAACTACTCAAAAACGTGAATATGTGGTCGATTTCAGACCTTGTGTGGTAGATGCTCAAAAAGTGGCAGATCTACCACAATGTGGTAGAAGTCCGATCACTGGCGACCACCAAGCTTCTGTGGTGTTTTAAAATGACTGGCACAGGCCTCCAAGGATTTGACTATAAAGTATGGTTCATTATGGAGATCACGACTAGCCAAACCCGTTATTTAAGTGTTGAGTATTTGATGGGCGGCCTTGTCTGAGTAGTGGCAGATTTTCCATTGCAGTCGATGCGCTCCGCCAAGCTCAGTTATGGATTATATTCACTCGTAGTAAACACTGGGGGAAATAATGCATAGTAAAAATGAATACTTTATATGAAATTATCGTTTAAAATTTTTCGTGCTAAACGTGCAGAGATGCTTGCTGTTATTTTTTAGCTTCCAGTAGGCCCCGAGTCGTCAGAGGCAACATGTAATTTTTTATTTCTATTTTCTTTTTTTGTTTTTAATAATTGCGTAAAAGCATCTGTGAAGTGAAAAACAAAACCATGTAGTACAAACCAAAAAATATATCAACAATGCCATCGTTAATATGTTGGAGTAGTTTTGTGCTAGTCTGATGTAATGCAGACCTGGAGTATATGGTCCTGCTCTAGGACATCGCAATGTTAATTGGACCACATTTTTTTATATGAATCGTGGTTAAGTTGAGTACCCCAAACTTGACCCTTTGAGAGTACTCTTTATGCATGGAGTAGTCGTGATTTTTGCAGGGTATATATACCAAGTATGCAGAGCGGGTTAGTAATAAAAAAATGAGTGAATGCATTACCTAAAAAATCAATGTGTGTGGCTAATTATGATTATGACTTTCCAAGAGATTAACTATAACATGTAGAAAGTAAATAACAATAATATTAAAAAAATAAAGAAGTTATACGTGTTTAACATTGGAAGGTCTTATTTGGTCCACCCTGTCGTTCGTATTTTGATTTTAACTTAAGTAAAAACTGATACAGGAGTGATAGTTTTAAGCAATAGAAAGAATGACTGTGTGTTTCGCCATGAATATGGATCAGGTACGCATATATGCATACACATATATTTATGCATAAAAACCTTATTCATATGTACTTTCATACAAACAGACATACATAAGTATTGTACATATCCACAATCCATCTGTTCGCCAACGTACTGCCTACGCAAGTTACTGCCAGAGAGCTTTTGAAAGGAACATTGTTACCCAACAGGAAGCTGTGGAATTTTATCCTTTACATAAGCACAAGCTATTGAGGCCGTAATGAAATAAGGTTGAACGTGAATAGGCAATTGTACTATTATATGTCATGTAAATAAGTATCTACAGACATTTTGCAAGATGAGCACGCAAACTAATGAAAATGAAAAATCGCAATATGAAATATTTCATAACTGAAAGAAGTACAGGTTAGGTTGGGTTAGGATAAAGTGGTTGCCCCAGGCAAGGGACACACTTCGACAACTAAGAGATTGTATTTTGTGATACCACGAAAAAACTGAACGGGGAGCCTTAATTTAGTCGGCGAAACGCCGCGAGCCGATTACCAAATTTCGAATGCGGCTAATTTCGTTCCATGAGAGCTCAGTGTTGGTTAAGAATGCGAGCCAAAATGCTACCACCGCATCTTCCTCTTGACAGCTGTCGGAACCCCTATAACTAGCCCTTGCGGGGTACTGTGTTTTTCGGCACCTTTAGGTGATAACGATGGGTCACTCGTGTCTTGCACTGCCAAGAGTATTTTGAAGTGCCCTATAAAAATATTTTATGCAGCAGAGAAAGGTCTTCTTTTCCTTTTTATGTCACAAAAGGAGCATCGCTGTCATCTGTCCATTTTATTAGGTATTTAGTAGAGTATTACAATTTCATTATCGCGAGTACTGCGTCCTTATCTGGGGATAACGTTTTAAGGGTGCATTTCCAACGCCAGGTCTTGAGCCACGTAGTTTCCCGCGATGTCACTGTGACCCGGCGCCTAAACTAGCCTTATTAAGAAGTACTCCGACGCGATTGATAGAGAGGTCAGATATTCCTTTACCGATTTTGAGCGCACCATCACACCCATTAGCAGCGAGTCTACCGCTTGTTTGATGGCAGATATTTCCATCTGAAAGACATAGCAGAAGTCTAGAAGCCTTAACGTAGTTTTCGTGGAATGTTTCCGACAGAAGAAACCTCCTCCAACTCTGCCTTCAAGTTTCGATCCGTCCGTGAAGTTTACCGCTCCCATCTTCGAGTAACCCCGCCCTACACAGTCCTCTCTTGACGGAATATAGGTAAAGAAGGAGCTCCTGGGAGCCATTTCGGAGGCGCTGTAATCTGTTACCACCCGGTTTCCCTGAGCCTAATAGCAGTTCATTCTGTGACAATTCTGTTTGCAATATCCGCAGGCGCCGTGCTCAATATGACATTAAGCGCCAGTGTAGGTTTTGTTCCTTATGCTCCACTAATTCTGATTAGGGCGATACGCTGTAAACGCTCCGGTTGTTTTACAAGTGTAGCCTTTTCTAGTGAGTACCACCAGGAAGGGGCTCCGTGAAACAAGATAAGCTTAAATCTGGTTTCAGAGAGCTAATGAGTCACTTTGGGCAGATACCTCACCTTTTACCGATAGCTCCCCCACGATACCTTCATATTTAGGATCAAGCCTAAGTAATTGACCCTGTCTGCGAGGCCGCCGTTGATCGCCCACCTAGTTATCTGGGGCAGGTAACCTTGAGCCAGATCAAAAAGGGTGTGTAGAAATCGTGACTTAACCAAAAGTTCCCCATCATCTATATGGGTGATCACCCGGCAGCCTACTTTTTCCAGTTCCTCTAAAAGGTCGTTTACAACAAGGGTTGGAAATAAAACAAATTTTGGCTTATCTCACATTGCTTATTTATACTATTTGTAACAAAAACAGTTTACTGACAGGAGGAAAAATAACTTTGTTTATTCCAAAAATACAATTAAACAAGTATTTTTACTTATGAAAAGTTTAACAAAATATAAGGAAAGCGTCTAACTGCTCGGCAAATAAGACATAGCGTTTTATATGAATTTTGTCTGCATCCTTTTTAATATGTTGAAAACATTGCAGGAAACCCATAAAACGTTTGCATGGAACCATGGCGCAATAAACAGGTGAACTAATAAAACAGCTTTCTGGCTTTATTTTTTGACATTCGGCTGTCTTAATCGGCTGCGATAAACGCCTGCAAAAGTTGACATGCTGTCTACTTTGAGGCAAGCCATTTTTG